TCTTCAATTAATATTATTAGAGAAAATATATAAGAAGATAATGATTAAAATGATTCCTCGATTTGTTATTAAATAATAAAATAGTCTTAAAAGTCTCTACTCGGTCCTCATTTATGACTTAATACAAAATTATTGAGCTATAATTTTTTTTTTTAGAATTTAGGCAACTGTATTTAGGGGTGTAAACGAGTCGAGTCGAGCCAAGGGGTGTTTGAGTTGAGCTCGGCTGCCAAATACCGAGCTCAAGCTCGGAAGATGAGCTCGAGCTCGACTCGTCTCAAGAAATGAGTCGAGTCGAGCGGCTTGTCGAGCTCCAGCTCTTGCGGCAAAATGGGCAAATCTCGCTCTCGCTTCCATCTGGCCCTTTAGCGGCGAAGCCTGTTACCGCGAGGCCAGTGACCCATTCCCGCTCCAGCTCTCTCAACCAAGCCCGTTGTCGCGAGGCCGGCGACCCGCTCCAGCTCTCGCTACCAAGCCCACTACCGCGACCCGCTCTCACGACGAAGGCAAAACCCTGTCGTGACCCGCTCTCGCGGTAATGCCTGCTCCCGCTCTCACAATGAAGCCCGCTACCGCGACCCACTCTCAACGAGCTATCGACTCAAGCATCCAAGTGTTCTAGCTCGAGCTCAATTAGCCGTCGAACTCTATAAGCTCGACTCGAGTCTGAGCCGGCTCGCGAGCTGGCTTGACTCGGTTGCACCCCTAGCTGTATTTATTAAAGATGGATAAGATATTTAAAATATTTATTTTAAAAATCAGGGCGAGCATCCTGAGCTCTTTCTGGTTCCGCCCTGCATATCATGGCATCAAAGGGAACAGACCTGGAGGGCCTTGCTAGCCTCGATGGGAGTCCCACGTGCAAACACGAGATCACCGACGACGGCGCTCCGGTGATGGTTGATGCTGAGATGGACGCCGGCCACCCGCCGGAATCCGGAGGCCACTTGTGCCCCCATGCTCGCCAGTGCCTCCGCGATCAAAGCCGATACGCCGCCGTGTAGCCTCTTGAACGGCTGCTGCTCCGCCACGGTTAATCAATTTCTACAAAGAGAGAGAGAGAGAGAGAGAGACAGAGAGAGAGAAGATGAGTTATGCTGACCTGGCAGCAAGTGTCGGTGACGCGTAGGTAGCCATTGACCTCCAACGCCGAGAGAACGTCGATCTGGAAGCCGATGTTGTGGAGCGGCGCGTCCAGTTCCGCTGTATTCGGAGGTGGCGGTGGCGGCGGCGGCGGTGGCGGCGGCGGCGGTTTGCGGGAAGTGCCCTCACCTGACATTAGGTCTCGTAGTTTGCCCTATCCGTCCGCCAATATTATATAATAGTTTAGCTGTGACAAACTAATTCGACAAACTGGCCTATGCGGGACC